CTTGGCTTCCTCCTTCTCTACTAACCTGGCCCGAGCGGAACCACATGGTCCCGGTAGGCAGAATAAACTTCCCCCTTCCTAGGGGCCGTTCCCAGGTCCTCTACTGGTGAAAAAGAGAGGCTGGTACTAGGCCCCTCCAGGGCCTTCTCCTCGCAGGACCCAGGCCCAGGATCCGCCATCCTGCCTGGGCTGGGCAGGGGCACTTTAGCCCCAGGCTTCTCGGGCCTTTCTGGAGCTCAGCAGACAAGTGCAAACAACACCTCTCTCAGGAATGAATTCACCAGTAATGGTGGGACTCAGCTGCCTTGTGGGCTGCAGTACCAGGGGCTGGCCAGCGGGTTCTCTCAACAACCAGAGGCTTACTTCGGCAATTAGCCATCACCTGGGGCTGATTGCAGGTGGTGTAATTTAAGGGATGGCCAGACCTGCAGTCTGTGCCTTGTTGTACTGTTTGCTTGGCCCTGGTTTCCTGATCCTGTTTCTGCCTGTCCTGACGCTGCCTGAACTCTGCCTGTACTGACCTCGGCTAGTCCTGACCACTCTCCCGCCTGCTCCTGGTACTCCGTTTGCCCCGTTTGCTATGACCCGGCCTGCCTGACTACTCTTGTATCGTATGTTTGTTATCTGTTGGAGGTTTGGTTCAGTTTATTTGCACTGTGTTATGTTTAGTTTTTGCACTGCGTTTGTATTGTTAGTCTCAATAAATTATATTATTTACTATATCTGAAACCTGCGTTTTCCTGTGTCAGTCCACACACTTCTGGTCATACCCGCATCCCTGACATTACAACAAGGCCATCCTGACCAGAAGTGGCTGCACAGGGAAGCCATCTTGGCTTGTTGCTGGGAAGGATGGCTCTCTTGATAAAGTTGTGTATTTGTCGCTGCTGGTTTTTGATGACAGAGAATATGCTTATCAGACTCTGAGGGGGTATACCCGGGATCAACTGCTAGAATGTATACGGGTCGCTCATGTTTCTAGTAGATCAGGGCACAGAGTTCTCTGAGGTGCTACCTTTGATTCAGGTGTGTGCAGAGTTGGCTTCATCTGGTACCCCTGAAAGCAGGGAATGACTTTTTGCCACCATTTAGTGCAGACCAGGTAGAGTCCCTGGTATGGTTATTAGAGGATGATGTGGATTGCTTCTTGGAGCATTATGCTGGATGTTCACAACAGGTATTAAGGGATTGTATAAACGCAGTGCAGTCTTTGACCAGACAGGCTTTGTGTAAGCTGAGCTTTGTTCAACCCGTACTGCAGACATGGTCAGACTTGTTGCACCCAGCCTCAGTCAGCTTACAACGTCATTCCTCCGCTCAAGGCGCTCTTCCTGCATCCCCGACAGCACCCCCAGTGATGGCCCAGTATACTCTAACTACCACATATCAGCCCTCTGCTCTCACTCGCTGCACCTATCCTGCATTTAACCCTGTAAAGAAGTCCTCTGTAGCAACTGCTCCCTCCTCTGTTCCATCCTCCAGCTCTTCTCTGTCTTCAGCTGCTCCATCCGTTTACAAACCTGCGCTTACTTACAGTGCTCCGGTAACTAAAACCAGGAAAAGGTGAAAATTCTTTCCAACCAATACCATCCTGCCACTATCCAAACCGGTCAGCCTGCCATCTGAGAACCCGCCTTCCATGGTGCAGCCTGGTGCCTCGGCGCGCCCACAATTCAACCTGATGCCTCTACCCAGCCTGATGCCTCTACCCAGCCTGATGAACTGATCCAGCCTGATGATCCTATTATGCCAGGTGACTCGGTGCCCGCTGTCTTGTCAGGTGACTCGGAGCCCACTGTCTTGCCAGATGACTTGGTGCCCGCATTCTTGCCAGACGATCCAATGCCTGATGACCCAGTGCCCGCTGTCGTGCCTGTTGACCCGATGCCCGCTGTCGTGCCTGATGACCCGATGCTCGCTGTCGAGCCAGACGATCCAATGCCTGATGACCCAGTGCCCGATGTCATGCCTGGTGACCCGATGCCGCTGTCGTGCCTGATGACTCGATGCCCGCTGTCGAGCCAGACGATCCAATGCCTGATGACCCAGTGACCGCTGTCATACCTGGTGACCCGATGCCCGCGGTCGTGCCAGTTGACTCAGAGCCAGCTGTCATGACTGGTGACTCTGTGCCCACTGCCTTGCCAGATGACTCTGTGCCCGCTGTCGTGCCTGGTGACCCCAATGCCCGCTGTCGTGCCTGGTGACCCAATGCCCGCTGTTGAGCCAGATGACCTGGTGCCCCCCCGGTCGAGCAAGACAATCCAATGTCTGATGACCCTGTGTCCAGCCCGAAGTGCCTCCGTCCGGTGTCCAGCCCAAAGTGCCTCCGTCCGGTGTCCAGCCCGAAGTGCCTCCGTCCGGTGTCCAGCCCGAAGTGCCTCCGTCCAGTGTCCAGCCTGATGTGCCAGTCGTTGATATCCCGCCAGTCACCGGACCCGGGCGGTGGAACATTTTGCCCAGCTAGGACTGTTTGGAGCATCCTGAGGCCGCTCCTTGAGGGGGGGGTACTGTCAGGAATGGACTTGCCAATAGTGGTGGGACTCACCTGCCTTGTGGGCTGCAGTACCAGGGCTGGCCAGCGGGTTCTCTCAACAACCAGAGGCTTACTTCGGCAATTAGCCCATCACCTGGGGCTGATTGCAGGTAGTGTATTTAAGGGATGGCCAGACCTGCAGTCTGTGCCTTGTTGTACTGTTTGCTTGGCCCTGGTTTCCTGATCCTGTTTCTGTCTGTCCTGACGCTGCCTGAACTCTGCCTGTACTGACCTCGGCTAGTCCTGACCCTGACCACTCTCCCGCCTGCTCCTGGTACTCCGTTTGCCCGTTTGCTATGACCCGGCCTGCCTGACTACTCTTGTATCGTATGTTTGTTATCTGTTGGAGGTTTGGTTCAGTTTGTTTGCACTGTGTTATGTTTAGTTTTGCACTGCGTTTGTATTGTTAGTCTCAATAAATTATATTATTTACTATATCTGAAACCTGCGTTTCCCTGTGTCAGTCCACACACTTCTGGTCATACCCACATCCCTGGCAGAATCATTGAAACAGAAGTAGTTATGATAGAGAATGTATTCAAGACATTCTACAATTAATTAATTGAAGGGATGCTCCATCGTGCTACTTTGGGATAGAACATGTCTGACACAAGCTATTCCCTTGTTATGCAGTACTGAACTATATATCGCTTTCTACATCTATTGCTACAAGATAAGCAGAACCTGGTATGTGTAGATCATTAATGATTTGAAGCAAGTGGATGGTATCACGTATGTATGAGGGGAGCCCTATCACAAATAGTCGTAAGTCTATTGTTTGGCTTAAATTTTTTGCGATAGACCCATTATCAGAGATAGTTTGGCATCCTGGGGGTTGCTTAGTATTTTTGTGAAGTTTAGGTAGACAATAAAAAGTTGGTGTCCGCGGGAAAGGAGATCTGATAAATTCATATTGGTCTTTGTTAATAATCCCATTTGCAAATGCTGAAGTGTAAAAGTCCTCATGGAATTTATCAATAATACTCTTTGAGATAGGGCGATACCATTCTTTATTTGTGAGAACTTTATATTACACATCTCCAAATCGTGTATATTGCGCATTAGGACCATATTAGGCTTTTCTCTCTCTTTTTCCATTTAAATTTCTTTTTTAATGTTTAGGTTCCTAATTTCTTTGCAGAGTTCTGTGAATGAATGCCTACAAGTACCATCAACCTTTCTCAATGAACTGCGAGGCTGTTCTTGTATTCCTTTGAACTTCCTGGACTGAAGTAACTGCCTGTCCGTATCAGAGATATGGACAGACAGCTACACTTACAGTCTGCAGGAGCTTGACATTGCACCTGCAATCTGCTGATCATGGGTGCAATGCTTTACAGGCAAGAAAAAAAAAATAGTAAATGCACATTTTTTTACCTTCCAAAATATACGTGCATTTATTATTTTGTAATAAAGTTCAACTTAGCCTTTAAAGATTGGTTGCCCTTTAAAAGATCCTATTATTTTATATATGTCATGTATTATGTTATCACTGTCTAAGCTATGAGCTCAGACGGTTAATTGTATCAAGTTGGTTCACCCCCTAAATTTTTTTTTTTTATTTAATTTTTTATGGTGGGATAGCACTGCACTGTTTGTTCTTTTTATTTGCAAATACATTTGTATTAGGTGCTGGCAGTTTAGTGGGGGTAGGGCTGATTGCAGAAGAATATGTAGGGATTCACTGCCCTGTACTGTTAGCTGCTAATATTACAGCTAGGTGTAATTTTGTATTAGCACTTCCTGTTTCTGGGAGATGGTATAAAAAACCCAGAAGAAGGAAGTGGGGAGAGATAGAGAGAGAGAGAGGTAATGACACCACAGCCCTGATTTACTAATGTGCATAGACACATTTCCGTAGGCTAAAGTCCACTTTTCATTAGAGTCCGTCTACTTTTAGACGACAAAGACATTTACTAAAAGAGTCTAACAAGTAGACTTGAAAGTGAATTTACTAACTAGGCACATTACAGGAATCAGTCTAAAAAAGCAGATGTCCTAGAAGTACGTCTAACAAAACGAAAAATCACTGCAGAAACATGTTCACATTGAAATTTGCTTTCCCAAATATCTGGACTTCACTTTAACCTCTTGCCGTCCGCCTGCTGTTTATAAACGGCAGGGCGGTGGCAGTCCAGGGGCGGGTTGCAGTTTCCTAAACGGCACCCACCTTTTCTAGCTGTGCGCGCTCCCTGGGAGCGCGCACCACCGCGATCCGGTGCCCGCTGTGTCCTTCGGACACAGTGAAACACCGATCGTCGGACGGGACCTCTGTACGAGGTCCCGATCATGTGATCACTGATTGGCGAATCAGTGATCACGTGCAAACTAGTAAGCAAGATGTCACTTGTGACATCATTGCTTACTACGTGTGAAATCTGTGAATGATCACAGAGGTCACATGGTACAAGGCTATTCACAACAGCCTTGTACCATGTGACAGGCTGTGACCAATCACAGCTCACTCAGTACGTCTCAATGACTGCAAGAATGCAGACAGAGAGAAAGAGAAATTATTGCTTTTACATCCTATATGGGTGTAAAAGCAATCAGTGTAAAAAAAAAAAAAAAAAAAAAAAATCTTCATCACCCCCCACAAGTATTAGTATACACTGTGTACTGCTAGGGTGACAGTATGTAAAAAAAATAAAAAATAATAATATAAAAAAATAAATAAAAATGTGAAAAAAAAATGTTTAAAAATTATAATTTTTGGTTATAAACTAATTTGGATTTTTTTTTTTTTTTTTTTTTACTAAAAAAATAACGGAATAAATTTTGGCCAAGATTTATGATGAAATATTATTTATTTGCAAAATTTTATAAAAAAAAAAACACTTTTTTTCAAAATTTTTGGACTTTTTCATTTACATAGTAAAAAAAATAAAAATCCCAGCGGTGAATAAATACCACCAAAAATAAAGCTTTATCCGTCTCAAAAAAAAATGGTAAAAAATTCATATGGGTACAGTATTGTCATTCAAAGTGTGATAGCGCTGAAAGCTGAAAATTGCCCTGGACTGGAAGGGGGTAAAAGTGTCCGGACAGGAAGTGGTTAAACAATATATTACATTTCAAAAACATTTTTTCAATGGGTAAAAAATAGTTTTTTAAGGGAATTCATGACAGTCAAGAACTAGACACTTTTCCAACGTCGCAGGGATAGAAATGAGCATGTGCAGGACACAATTTATCCGTCTGCCGTGGGCGCTTTCTTTTTAGATGCTGTTTAATAGTAAATGTCTGTGTGGAGTCCTCTGCAAGACGGCAATCAAGCCCGTCTACTGTGTTTGACAAAAAGCACTATTTGTAGCTAGGCATATCTTTATGTATTCTAATTTGATTTCCTTAGTTCTAGTGATTTTATTTTTGTTTCCTATTCTTTATAAGGATTTCTGTAATGGTTTTACATATTTCAAAGATCTAGATAATATATATTTTGACAGCTGAATCTAAAAATAAAGGTCAGCAATTAATTAAAAAAAATGGTGTGAGGGTTCCCCCTCCCATCCATACCAAGCCCTTCGGGTCTGGTATGGATTTAGAGGGGAAGCCCCACGCCAAAATCCATACCAGACCCTTATCCGAGCATGCAGCCTGACAGGTCAGGAAAGGGGGGGGACAAGCGAGCACCCCCCCACTCCTGAACCATATACCAGGCCACATGCCCTCAACATGGGGAGGTGCTTTGGGGCAGGGGGGCTCCCCCCCAAAGAACCTTGTCCCCATGTTGATGGGGACAAGGGCCTCTTGTGGGGGTCTGATCGGAATCTGGAAGCCCCCTTTAACAAGGGTGCCCCCAGATCCTGGTCCCCCCATGTGAATGAGTATGGGGTACATGGTACTGCTACTCATTCGGGTAGTGGAAAAAAAAAAAAAAAAAGACAGGACATGGTCTTTGACAAGTCCTTTATTAAAAGAAAAATCTAAAATGTCCCCCGAAGTAGATCCAACGATCCTGTTCCTGATGCTGGCTCCTGCCGTTTTACTATTCCGGTGTTATGACAGTTCTTAAATATGTAAGGGGCAGGGCCACCCAGGGTTATCATCCAAGTGGCCCTGCCCCATGTGACATCATTGTCACATGGGGTGGGGTCACATGCGTGATGTCCCCGGGTGGCCCTGCCACTTACATATTTAAGAACTGCCAAACCACCGGAGCTGTCACACTGCAGGAGCCAGGGAACGGGACCCTTTTTTTTTTTTTTTTTCTTTTTTCGTGATTGATGTTGGATCTACTTCGGGGGGACATTCTGTTAGATTTTTCTTTCAATAAAGGACATGGGGACAAGGTGCTTTGGGGGGGGAGAGCTCCCCTGCCCCAAAGCACCTTCCCATGTGTAGGGCATGTGGTCTGGTATGGTTCAGGGGGGGGTGCTCGCTCATCCCCCCCTTTCCTGACCTGCTGGGCTGCATGCTCGGATAAGGGTCTGGTATGGATTGGGGGGAAACCCCATGCCATATTATTATTTTATTTTTTTTTTACATTTGGGTGTGGGACTTCCCCTCTAAATCCATACAAGACTCAAAGGGTCTGGTATGGATGGGAGGGGTGACCTCACACTGTTTTTTCATTTATTATCATACTGGTTTTTAAATGTAATTTATCACTTTTTTTTTTCTTCACTATAGCTCAGAAATTTAGCTGTCACTTTCCCCCAGCTAAGAGAAAGTTTTCTTTGAGTTTATTTC